ATCAAAAATGATGCAAAATATTTCAGATATTGATTCTGAAAGTAGTGATAGTGATAGTATGATATATTCTGATCATAAAGAATCTGGCGAATTTAATGATGATGAGGACATTTCGGACATCTGTATGCTGAGTACGTCGAAAACAAGTACTTCTCCATGGTCATCCACAATAGAAAATTTATCGGAATTATCATTTAAAGCTGTTCCTGGAAATAAAGTGGATAATTCGGTTGAAGAAGAAATTGATTTCTTTAGGTATTATTTTGATGATACAATAATGAAATTAATTAATGAAGAGACTAATCTGTATCAGAGGAGTAAATATCCTGAGGATGAATCTGGAGCAACTTCTTTGAAGTATTTACCTGTTACAGTGGAAGAAATGTTTGTTTCTTTGCTCTAACAATTTTGATGAGTATTATAAAGAAACCCCAATCAAAATGTACTTTTCAAAGAATCCCTGCTTGCAACGCCATTTTTTAAGCGTAATGAGTCGTGAGCCATCGTTGTATTCTTAGATGTTACATTTTACTAGCAGCGATGCCAAAAAAAATCGGAAAGCTTCAACAGTTTTAAATAAAATAATTGAAAATTTATTTAAAACTGAAAAATATGTAACATAGACTGTGTGTATATCCCGTTTTCAAATTTTTCATACAAAAAGAGAATTTTAAGTAATATTTTTAGTTTTCAGATGTATAATGTTAAAAGTCATACAATAGTGAGTAATGAAAATAAAATGTGTAAAATATGCATTTAAACAAGAAATAAGGTAATTAAAGTATCTATAAAAATATCTATAAAGCATAAGCCATTTAAATACTCTATAGAGCATTATTAAACAATGCATTGATACTTTGGAAATTTCATGGATTTAGGCTTAATAGCAAAAAAGCCCCCGGCCCTGGACAGACGCTCGCGTAAGACACTGCCGGCCTCCGCGATAAGCGCGCGTTTGCGCTACCCAGCGCGAATATTGTTTGCGTAACCGGGCGGCAATGAGCCAAGCAGAACCATCTTAATTCGTTAGGGAGTGGTGTTTCCAGTCCGCCTGTTTTAACGGTGTCGTCCCAAATGCAGTCAAAAAGGGAAGAACGACGTTAATTGCGAAGGGAAAACTAAACGGGTGTGTTAGAGGTCATAAGGGAAGATATATTGTAAAACAAAGATATTTTTAGGTCTCGTTCAGTATCAGTATATCAAGAAAAAAAATGAATGGAGTTACAGAGAGAGCTCTCGCTTGTTATTTAGTGTAAGTCAGTAGTTGCCAATATATGTATATGGGCGTACATGGTATCAGAATGGAGATAAATTATATATTTATAAACAAATTAATAGTATTACTATGCACTTTTTGGATTATTAATAATATATTATCTACTCATTAAATGCAAATTAAGTTATCGTTCTCAGATGATTTTAACGATCTGTTTATTAAAATTTTATTATTACATTATTTTCATCTAGAAATTTCTTCTCCCCCTGTAACCATGTACATGTAAGTTATGAGACCGAAAAGCATGGGAAATACTGTTATAAACAAGAAAGAAAAGAAAGAAATCCCCCCCTAAAATGTAGTCTCAGTTTTAATTTGCACCTGTTGCTCAGTTTGCAAACATTATAGGAAATTGAAGCATAAAATGTTTTCACAGAATAACCAAATAATGATGTAATAATGTAACTTCTTAATAATGTAATCTTGGAGCTGAATAAAAATATTTTTCACTTTGTTGCCATTTTTGCAGTTTGAATTCAAGGATTCTGTTGTGGAATTATATCTAACAGACTTTTGTTAAACAGGAATGCAGAAATAGCTAAGCTTTGCCAGATTATTTTAAAATCTCATTTCATGGGATTCATTAAAGTAACACTGCTGTATTTTATTTATTTAATAAATCTTAAATTTTTTAAAATTATAACCAAAAATATTTTCTTATAAAACATTTAGATTTAAAAGTGAAATAGATAAAAATACTCAAATAATCAAGATTAGAATTAAAGAATTCTAAAAATTTCATAATATAAACGTTTTAAATTGTATATTCTAAATGCTTTTACAGATTTGAAAAAGTTTTTAAGGTTAAAAGCAAATTTTAATTGATATGTATACAAAAAGCAGATTGTGGGATGAATTTTTGTAACTGTCATGTAATAAAAGTTTATGAAAGATAATTAAATAGCTTCATGTGTATTTTAATATTTTGTATATCAAGCATAGATATTTTAATGTTTAGTAAGTTTTAAAATTCATACACATAGGTTTATTATTACTTTCACATAGCGCATTTTTTCGATTAAATACTTTGTGAAGATACTTGCGGAAGCAGTGATCATCTTGCAAAATGTGTCAATGTATTGAATGTTTTCCAGTTTATAAGAAAGGTTGTTAAATCCTTATCACAAAATTGCAGCACTGTTTTAAGAAAGCAGTTAACAGACTTCCAGCTTTGTGTACCCCTGGGGAAAATACAACTGAAGAAAATAAATTGTTTGATCTTATCAAAAACTGTGGCAGTGATTATGTGTAAGAATATTTAGAAATTGATAAAAACTTGTGTACTGAAATTACCAAAATAAAGACACATCAACTGTAGTTGATGATGTGAACTTTAACACAAATAGTTTGGAAATCAGTTGGCAGGTGAAGAAGAGCCAGACGAAAGTGTGACATAAAAGACTATTCAGATGTTTTAAAACATGCCTCACATATTAAAAAAATTCATGATAACTGTTGGTGATAATGAAGGACTTAAGATCATCAGTGACTAATATCCTTGCAGAAAAAAATGCTATGAACGGACATTCAAAGCAACCCACACAACAGATTATTTTCAACAAGTTTCTGTAAACACAAAACTCCATTTTTCATTTCATGTATTTTTGCAATAATTGAACTTTTTTAATTAAGAATTTTTATTTTTCATTAATTCAAATTCAAATAAATACCCGTGACTATGTTAGTTAATCATATATCATTTAGTTTGATATAACCTGAATTTCTAATTATATTATTTCTTAGTATGTACCCTCTGAAGAAGGGATAAAATGTGAGGTCCAGTGGATGTCCTTTATTGGAAGGTACTACTATTTGGTGGTGAAATGGTGAAAAATATTTAAACTGATCCCATGTAGATGCATGATAAGTTTAAACTTCTCAGGTAGTCTCCTAAGAAAATTTGGTTTTGGTTTAGTTTGGCATACATGATTATGGCAAAGCCTCGACAGCTATCTGCCTAAGGAGATGGATGCCTTTGTGGAGGACTTTCTAAGAGAAACTGGCCTGTATACACGTTGCATATAGGAAAGCCACTAAACACCCATGCAGCCAGCCTGTTTGTGGGATTTGAATCTGGGACCAAACTACCAGTGTTCGGTGACTTTACCATTCGTCTTTTAGTGGATCCCTAAGATAATCTGAGAAAGAAAAAGGGGAGGCACTTTTGTTCTTTAAAAAATTCATTGTACTGTGAAAAGCTGATCTGATTGGCTCAGGAGCAAGACCAGCTGAACAGGGACATCCAGGTTGGAGAAGGTATGGATTCCTGAGAAAGTGCCGGGTACATGGTCTTGGCAACCAACCAGGAGCCTTGGATTACTGTTTAGCACACAGTAACAAAACTGAACGAAATATATGAGGCAAAAAGATGGCGAGTCCAATATTAAAATAATTAATAATTTATTTTCAACACTTGGAAGATCATCAGATGGTGCATTTTTTAGTAGCTCTGCATTTCACTTTCGCTTCCAAAGGATCACAGTATGATTAACGTTGGCTGGGACCACACTTCCAGCCTTTAAGAGGTTTTGGAGGAAGGGGGTACAATTTTTTTCTAAACAGTAAGTGTCATGGCAAAACATATTTCTTTGAAGTGGGGTGCTGCTCATACAGGTTTTCGTTTGTTGGCAGAGTAGAGGGAGAATAAAAAATTATATTTCAAAAAACGTAAGTTCAGTTAGCGCAGCAAATTGCGCTCTTCCTTAACTCTCTAACTTGATACGGCTTATTATAATTTACAAGCTATTATCATTACATCTAGCTTATCAAAATTAAAGTTTGTATTGCTATTTATGTCAAAAAGAGTTTCTAATTCTGGAGCTGTATAAGGATCTGCAAGGCAAAAGTCTATTTGTTTTTTGCCTTATAGCAGGTTTGGTACGTTTGGGGTCTTAAAAATGTGCGTTATCAAAATTAGACAAAGCAATATTTTTATTTTGACATAGATTTTCAAAGTTATAAAAGACATCATTTTCCAATTACTGGAAATCTGATAATAAAAAAAGATGATTCAATAGGCATTTTCCATTGTGATGACAATATACAAATCAACAATCAATTCGGATAGTGAAATATTTCGTGCGATTTTAAATCCAGAAAATATCAACACTGATAGCAAAGAAAGTGACTAAGATGTTTTTGAGAATGAAAAGATTTTAGCCAAGAGATTAGTGAGAATTCTTGACACAGTACTTTCAGGACTTGAACAGTGGAATTTTGTAAATGAGCACAAAACTATGCCTGTCTATAAAATTAAAGAGAAAATAATAACAATAATAATAATAAAATCACTAAAAGAAATATTTAATAAAACAAATAAGTGAATATTAAGCTTTTTTGGTGAATCTTGAGTCCCTTTACGTTATAAATGTTTCATAAATATTTATTTCATATTTTTAATTTTACAGTTTTTGATTTTTATCCTCTAAATTTAAACTGATTATCTAAAATCCAGAATCGCTGATGTCTCGACGAGTCCGGATCTCGGATGTTAGTTTTAAAACTAGTGTAAGCAGATAAAACAGCTAAATGAGCAAAAAGATGTCAAATGCTATAAAGTTCTCTAAAACCTAGCTGGAATTAGTTAGCTGCAACTAAGATATTGTTATAAGCTATACAGAAAACTAAATAAATATACAACATACTTAATAAATACTGTTTAAATACAGCTTTTCATTCAAAAAAACTATAATAGTGTTGACACATTCATAAATCTTTCACACAATAAAAATGAAAACATCTTTTATTCTTTATAGATGCTAATAACAACCATGTTTTTCGACAATCATTATAGTAATTTTTCTGCAGAATTAAATCTCTAGAATATAAAATCTTTAATCATATATACAAACTTCACTTTTTTTAGTACATTAAGCACAAGACCTATTAAAAATAATTTACATAAAAATTTTACATTTGATAAATATTCAGTTTAAATTATAACACTCTACAAGGCCCTTTTTACTGCCAACTGCAACTGTTCCCCAACCTTCAAGATTGGCACCTATAGTGACAGCAGTTATGTCTGACGCTCCATCCAATGTTGCACAACAGTATTCATCAGTAACAGACCAAATGAAAGCATCACCTCCACAGGACACGATGAGAAAAGGCTCATGGTACATTGCTTTGGTGATTCTGAAAGATAAAATGAGTATTACAAAATAATTTTTGCAACTGCAGCTAACAGTATAATAATCTCTTGCAAATGTATTCACATTATGCCAATTTCTTTTATTATTATTATTAACAGATTTAGCATTTAATTCTTTAACACTAATTTGTTGCTTGTTACAAAATGACTATATGGTTCACTTTTTTTAAACTATCTATAATCAGAAATATCAATCACAGCAAAATCTTTTCTAGAGAGAATGTATGAAAGTATGAAAATACATACTTTTTCAGAGAAACATTTTCTGAACTAGCTGGTTGCAAGGAATATGTCATTGTGGTTTGACAAAAGCCCGTAGCAAGATTAGCTGCGAGCAATTGGCACACGTATGGTTCCTCTTTGCTTTCACATGTAGTCATGAAGAACACCAAGCCCTGGAAAAGAAATCAAAATACATAAATTTGTTTTGATTAAGGAGTGCTAAACATAACACACCTATCAACTTTGTGAAAATAGAAAATTAGTACCTGAATTTTAAGAAATAAAGAAATAAGAAGGGATTTTTTTCGCCCTTGCATACTTAATCACAGTTTTTTTTTTTTTTTTTGTGCCTTCTTTTAAAACGTGATTTGGAAACTGCATGTCATGAAATTTATTATCTACCTTATATTTCAGCTTCAGGATATTCAAAAATGCCCAAAATGAAAAGGAGACACTTTTTAAATTACAACAGATGGAAAAAAAAAATGTTTCATTTTAATGTTATCTGACAAATAATTTTAAACATATTGTAATAACTTTATTATATTCTCAGCTGAGCATTCCTAACTAGCATTTGAGGGCATTAACATCTGTGGCTGATAACCATGACTATACCACAGTTCCTGCACAGTCATAGTTAATGTTTCCAATCCTCTCAAATTTTGCTATTACATTTGTTATTGTCTGCTGGGTCGGCCTTTTGGAAAATTGCGAATACGCATTAAAAATTCTATCTCATTTCAACAATGTGGTAATTCGATAGTGAAATTCCAGCACAAGAAATATTTTCTGTTCTAAATAATGCATTTTTTGCACTAGAAATTAAAAATTATTTCACTCTCTAAACAGGAGATGGAAGTTATCTCCAATAACAGCAAATACATTCTGATTCAACAAAGAAGCATGTTAACTTATAGCGCTATAGCAAATATAGTAGTGGTACCTCGCGATACGATCTTAATCCGTTCCTGGACCGGGATCGTATCGTAAAAAAATCGTATAATGAACAATGTAATCTTATGTAATTTAATTAATTCGTGCAACGCCCCATATATAAACACCAAAATCGTCTATACGTAATAATAATTAGTCACAAAATAGTATATTAAGTACCACATACACACAATAAACATTTATACCACATTTATAAATTAAATAACCTTATAAATAAATAAAAAAGAAAAAGAAAAATTAATTTCACTTACCGTAAAGTACTGTACAGTCAGCGAGGGATAGTTTTTATTACGACACTGATAAATTGCGCACAGCGTTTATAAAACTTAGACACAGTAATGAAAACTTAAAATTAAATTTCTTATGTAAAATTACAGACACAGTAATGAAAACTTAAAATCAATTTTTTTAAATAATTTTTATCTTTTGTAATTTTTTTTTTTGCTTTTCTTTTTTTTTTTTTAACTAACTGAACTTAAATTTGAGGTGATACATCATCGTCTTCACTTTCCTTTCTAGTTTTCTTACTAGAAACACTCGCTTCTTCACTTTCTGGGGCACTTCTCTTCGAAAAATATCTATCTAAAGAAGCCTGTTTCTGACGATTCCTCAAAATGTTTTGAAAATGACTCATACACATTGCACGAGCTGTACGTATTTTTTCTGGGTGCTTTTTTTCAATAAAACTGTTTAAGTTTTCAAACCAACCGATGGCTTCCTGTATTTCCATAGATGTCAGTGCTACTTCCACCTCCTCCTCAACACTCGAATGATGTTCCTCTTGAAGATCGCTGATTTGCATCGCCTCCAATGCCTTCAAGTCGTCAGTGTTGAGCTCCTCCTTGTGCTCGTCGAGTAGGTTGTCAATGTCAGCCTCATCGACAACAAGCCCCAAAGACTTTGACAGAGAAATAATCTCCTCCAATGGAGCAGGATCATCCACAGCTTCTTCTTCAGTAGGGATTTCGAAACCCTCAAAGTCTCGTTCTGCAACTACAGCTGCCCAGAGTTTCCTCCATGCTGAGTTCAAGGTGCGCCTTAAGACCTCACCCCATGCCTTTTCTATGATTTTTAAGCAATGGACAATGTCGTAGTGACTATTCCAAAACTCACGGAGTGTGAGTTGCGTGCTCTCTGTCACTTCGAAGCATCGTTTGAAAAGGTGCTTCGTGTAAAGCTTCTTAAAATTAGCAATGACTTGCTGGTCCATAGGCTGGAGGATGGAAGTGGTGTTCGGTGGCAGATAGAGCACTTTGATGAAGTCGAAGTCGGGATGTATCTGTTCTTCAAGGCCAGGAGGATGAGCAGGGGCATTGTCGAGCACAAGGAGGCATTTTAGAGGAAGACCATTCTCCTCTAAATATTTTTTCACTGCAGGTCCGAAGCAGCAATTAACCCACTCAACAAATAAAAGCCTCGTGACCCAGGCTTTGGCGTTGGACCTCCAAAAGACGGCGAGCTTATCCTTCGACACATTATGTGCCTTGAAGGCACGAGGATTTTCTGAGTGGTATACCAGTAGGGGTTTTATTTTTAAATCCCCACTGGCATTCGCACATAGGGCAAGAGTAAGCCTATCCTTCATGGGTTTGTGTCCAGGAAGTTTCTTTTCTTCTTCTGTGATGTATGTACGACGGGGCATTTTCTTCCAGAAAAGCCCCGTTTCATCACAGTTGAAGACTTGTTGAGGGATGTAGCCTTCATCGAGGATTAACTTTTTGAAGGCCTCGATAAATTCTTGCGCTGCTTTTTCATCGGCGCTGGCAGCTTCCCCATGCCTGACCACGTTATGTATCCCCGATCTCTTCTTGAATCTTTCAAACCACCCATGAGATGCTTTGAACGTTGGGGCCTCTTGTGTTGATGTCCCTCAGAAACTATCTTTACCACAAGTTATAGATGCTCAGCAATTAGCTTGGTTCTTTATTAATTTTCAATTTTATATCTGTGTGTGTTGGGGGGGGGACTTTTCACGCATAAATGTATTTTTAAACAAACAATTATTCTTATTGCAAGAATTCGTAACTGAGGAAATTTATCTTTTGATAACTATTAACTAAAAATGATTATTCAAATCTATCTTTAAATCCTTGACTTACAATAATTAAAATCTTGGTAACTCAAATTCTTGCTATAATAAATGATGACATAATGATGATAATTAATTTACTTAAAATGTATTCGGAAGCTCCATGAAATCACTTCGAGGATCCCTAGTTTGTGACCACTGCTGTATGGTATCTTTGTAGGACATGGTTTGGCTTGGTTTGCTTTATTTAATTATGGCAAAGCACACTAGGGCTATCTGCCTAAGGGAAGGGACGCTTCATGGAGGACTTTCTAAGGGAAACTGGCTTGTGTACACGTTACACATGGGGACAAACATGAAATCGCCCATGCAGCCAGCCTGTTCGCGGGATTCGAACTTTGGACCAAATTACCAGTGTTCAGCGACTTTACCACTCGGCCGCTGGTGGGCCTATAGGACATAGAGATGGCTTGCAATGTCATTTATAGTTGGTCCTCATTTACTGCTGTTATTCAGTTCCAGACTCAACCCCAGTAGATGAATTTCTGCAAAATAGGATTATGCTTTGGAAGTCTAAATAAGTTAACAGCTGCATAATGACTTGTATCATCTACACAGCTTTGTTACAAAATACATTAGAAATCTATTGCAAGATTGTAAATGCAAAGAAAATCATGCTTCTAATTTCTCTCGGTATAAAAAATAAATAAAATTAAAATTAGATAATAAATTAAGTATTAGGATTTTTAACTTATATTTACATTTTCAACTGTGGCCCAAAAACACTGTCCAATGGGAAGAAAATCCATTGGCTGAAGGCTGACAGCAGTAACTAAACGTGCCTCCGCAAGGTGCCTGAAAACAAATACAATTTCCATCATTACCAAATTATAGTGATATTTTTAATGAAATATAATTTAGGCTCAATATATGAGCCTTCTGTTGTTTTTATAATCCCCAAATACAAAATTAAAGGTTTGATTCTAAATTCCCCATTTTTAATCATTTGCTTCTTAAGGAGGCCTAAATGTCATTAAATTTCAAACGCAAATGGAGTTAAACGTTTTTCTTTTCAAATGAACAACAACCATTTTCAGTTTTATGCAAATTTAGAAATAAAAAGTTCAATCTGATGTGACTCTCCTTTTCCCCCAAGTAAATATCTTGCAGAATATCAATCATCAGATTCAACTTGTCTTTTAAAACACATTTAACTTTTTTGTTTTGCAGTTCAAGTTTATTACTATGTGAATCCAAATTTTAGTTGTTTCTATTTTAAATTAAAAAGCATTATATGTTTGGAAATTCACCAACATGTAGTTGCCAAAAGCTAGAATAATGTATGAAGTTAATAAAATTTATGAAAAATAAAGTTTTTCATGATTATTGAGTATTTCTAATAAATGACCATGAAAAGTTTAATTTTGCCAATTTTTAAAAACTGGCATTTGTGTGCATCTTTTACACCTTCAAAACTGAATTCGTAAAGAAGTAAAAATCCAGTTCTTGGTCATGTCATCTCTGCTACAATAATTTTTACAAATGGCATAAAGAGCTGGGTGTTTTAATTTCAAACAAGAATACAGAACTCATTATTACAATTATTGTTTCTTCAACTCCAAATTCAGTTATCTAAGATTCTGTTGATGTCATCTAAAAAATAACTAAAATTCTGGAAGAGATTTTCATGTAATTCATTAACTAAAAAAGGGGGTACTTCTTTGTTATAACGACCCCCCCCCCCAAGATTCAATCGCCAATCAACCGAGATATCTTGCCAAAATCTGGCTGTGTGATCTGATACCTCGAGATGCAATCGTGTGTTAGCATCATGCTGCAATTTTACTCTTGATGCATATTCTTATATTATTCATCTTTGATGAGAATTTAAAATTCATATTGTTTAACTAAAATATATTTACAGCTTTTTTTGTGTATGATTATGACATTAACAGTCTTTAATTTATCAAGTAAAGAGATGGATGCCATACCACTTTTTTCAGGAAAGAGGTCTTTTACCTGACAAACAAGTTTGCGAAAATTGTCACAACATGAAACTTTATGTTGATGATAAAACCATCTGAAAGTGCAGTCAGTGTTAAAAACTGCAAAATGAAGAGAGGTCTTCATATTGGAAATTGGTTTCACCTGTTCCAGAATATCATTGCATTATTTTTACATTCATGCTTCCGAATCTTGGCAAAGTTACAACTGAGATCTTGGTGCAAATCTAAAATTGACAAATATGGGAGCCCCTATAACACAGAAGTACCAAAAAAATTAAAAATCCACCACTAAACTTAATGTAGAGCAGTTACTTAAATATTTTATTAGCCTTGATTTCAAAGTAATTAACAAAGTGTCCTAATTTCTGAAGCTGGAATCTTATTACAACGGAAAATGGATTATTCGTCATATCCTTCAATCATTATTTTCTGATACTGTCAACAATTTTGATAAGCCAATGGACAGAATATTTTTATTATAAAACAAAACAAATAAAATGGGGTAGTCATAATTCAAAATAAGACATTTTTTAATAACAAGTAAAATCTGATTCAAGTGTAACAAGTGAAATCAGATTTCTTTGTCAAATGATACTTAAAAAGAAAATTTATTATTATGTAGGAAACATTTTCCAACAAATATTGCTGTGCAGGTTGGTAATAATGTACTTTATGAATTATTTTCTGAGTAGTTTCTAAAATTTCACATATTAGTATTTAGAGCTTTAACAGAAAATTCTCTTTAAGCAGCAGGGGGGGAGGGTTAAAATACTTGATCTGCATTGTGTTATGACTGGAGAATGTTTTAGGTTTATTTTAATTTCTGTACACTGAACCCTCTTCAAGGTAATCCTTTTACAGTGCCAGAGGATTTTGATCCAGTGGAGTTGATCACTTTAGATAAGTGGCATCCAATGCAAATGTTAAATTATGTTCTCAACAATACTGCTCACTTTCTAATGCGGAGCGGACATTGCAGAGAGTTGGTCACCACAACGATGTTCACAATATTTACCAAGTTAGAGGGCTTAATAATATACGGTAAGCAAGCTAGAGAGCTATAATATGACCAATTTCAGTTGTTAGCTTGGATTTTATCCTTAGTATAAGAGGTATTATGCTAAAAATCAATCATACTGTACTAAAATTTGCTGCACAATAGTTAACAAGCAATCATTTTTATAGTATATGACAGTAAGCAACCTAGAGAGCTATGATATAAACATTTTCAACTGCTATCTTGGATTTTATCCTTAGTGTAAAACATACTTTGCTAAAAATCAATATAAACATACTATGCTAAAAATCGATCTTTAGCACTAACTGCAATATCAGTTATCATTGTGGTATAATGAGGCATTTTTATCCATTTATTTAAGGTGCATCATCAAAGAAATGAGATACACTGCGATAGACCAAGAGAATTGGTCTAAGGAAAGTGATGGTTAGTGGATAATGTCAAGCATACACTCAGACCCAGATCAACTGCTTGCACAGTATCACAGTGTGACAGCTACCAAGATGAACATGAAGTCTGATGCCACTTTGGGGTAGAAAATGGAAAGCAGTTTGAAACAGCAGTATGTGACAGAATTTTGACTGACTAAATTGGCTACATTAGATTTGATTATTTAATTATGGCACAGCACACGAGGGCTATCTGTCTAAAGGGAGGGATGCCTTTGTGGAGGATTTCTAAGGGAAACTGGCTCGTATACACGTTACACATGGGGAAAACCACGAAAACGCCCATGCAACCAGCCCGTTCACGGGATTCGAACCTCAGACCGAACTACCAGTGTTCAGCGTCTTTACCGCTCAGCCACTGGTGGGCCTCTAAATTGGTACAAACATGCTTGCAATTTTAAGACTTACCTATGGGACAAGCTATTGTCTTAAGCATAAATGTGCAGGTAACATAAAGCATTAAATGAAGAGACAGAACATGAATAACATTTAGTGTTCTCGAAAATGTAGGTCAAATGAAGTTAGTGCTGAGGATAAGGTTAACTGCAGATACAATGGTGCATTCTTGAGATTTGAGCTTGGCCTGAAAAGACACAATTTTTAGATGCTTGCTTATGATCAAAGAAGCTGCGATGTATTTATATTGATTTTCTACTCTCATTTGAACAGTAGGAACAACACATTAAAATTGGTGCGTTAAAGCTCAAGAATTCTATTGTAATAAATACTAAATGTAAAGCACCCACTGGTAATAAAACAGATTTTTCAGAATTAATCGCATTTCTTTCGGAACAAACCCTTATTCTCTTGTCCATAATAACAGTGGTCCTCAGATCAACGTTCTAACACATCTAAGTTCTACTGCATTACAGTCATTTGGAGCAACATATTAAGAATGCTATCATATCTGTGAGAACATATCATTGCATGCTAGCTAATTTGTTCTCATTGTCCTTAACATACAAGTAGATGCAAAGAAAGAATTTGACTTTCATTACAGCTGTGAAACAATTAAAATTTATAATTAAGAAGAAAAAAAAAATCTGACGTTGACACCACACACCTTCCTTGTACGGCCTATTAAAATATACAGATTTTGTTGCATTTCATTTAAACTTATTTCCTTAAATTGCATTAGAGATATACAGTACAAAGTCCGTAATCCAGACTCGTCGGGACTTCAGCAATTCCGGATTAGGGGTTTTTCCTGATTATAGATCATCAATTTAAATCTGGTAAGATGGCATGCAGAAATTATACAATTAAAAATATGAAACCATAATTTATGAAATAAAGAGCAATTATGATTTAAAGGGTATTAAATTTACAAAAAAAAGAGCTTAATATTTATTTGTTTACTTTAGTAAACATTTCTTTCAATGTAAGTTGTTTAAGTTGCTTCGTTTTATGTGCTAATACTTTCTCTTTAATTCTATAAACAGACATAATTTCTTGTGCAGTTACAAAGTTCCGTTGTTCAAGTCCTGTAATTGCCGTGCCAAGAATACCGACTAACTTGTCAATCGAAATTTTTCGTTTTCAATACCGTTCTCTGTTACTTTCTTCACTATCGGAAGCGCATATGGGTAAACGCTTTACTGGCTATATGCACATGCGTAGTGGACGCATGCATCAAACGTGCACGTGTAAGTTTGCGGCTTTGAGGTCCGGATTATAGATCATTCCGGAAAATGGACGTCCGGATTATGGACTTTTTACTGTATTTCTCATTCAATTAATTCAAGTTCTCACTTCGCAGTAAGGCAAAAATGCATAAAAACTCATCAAAAACAGTAAAAAAAAAAAAGAAAAGAAAAGAAAAGAAAAGAAAAACATAAAACACGAAATCCAGTTAAAAAAAAAACAATTTTTACATTTAGAACTAGAGTTTCTACACAAAAATAAGCAATTTGACCAGCAGGCAGGAAGACAAATTCTTCTTCGGTGCATAAAATTGAAAGTTTACTTTTGGCCTCACTCAGAAAAAAGACACAGATGTTGGATGCACAGACTGATTTTATTCTAGAACTGACTTTAAATGAAACTGATATAATAATTTAATTAAACTGATTTAATAATATTTGGTGGCAACAATTTGAAATGTGATCAGTGGAAAATGCCGTTTCGAGACTAAATTCCATTCGGGACTAATGTCCCTTTTGGGCAGAAAATACATGCACAATACAAATAGAAAATAATACAAATACAATGCTAACAGCTGTAGAAAAAAAAATTATAAATAAATAATTTGCATGAATACAGGACATCAGTAACAGAAATGCATTATAAAAGCAAACTGAAAAAACTGCTAGAAATAAATTACATCGAACAAACTAATTAAAAACAGGTTGTCCTATATCATGCAAAAAATACATACCACACATACAACATGGAATTACAAACTCCCATCAAAGCATTTGGTAGGTTTTCAATTTGGCACAGGCTGCAAACAGGTTTAACAGTGGATCCCAATGTAACTGTCATTAATTTTGGACTTTCTCGGAGACTGCCAAATGCATGAATGAAAACTTCATAACTCTCTTTACCTTTAGCAGTGGCAAACATCAGTCCATTAAGGCCACATAAAAGAACATTTTCAGAGCACCTGATACACAAAATAATATGAATTTTATCATAGGTAAAATACTACATGCAGAAATTATACAAATAAGTAAAACTCTTATTTATATATTATTTTAATTACTTAATAATACACCTGCACATTTTGAAATCCACTGTTTTCAATAATGTGACCAAACAGTGCAATTTATTGCCACTGCAGGACGTCACAACACAGTTATTTGGGATATGCCTTTTACAGAATGGTAAGCACTGAAGTCATTTTAAAGCTGAAGGACTGGCTATACAGAAGTGCATGCTCAAACATTGAAACTGAGGAGGCCATCAAAATGGCAGAATAAAAAGAACCATGAAATAGCATGACATTATGTACCTTAATATTTAAATTTATTTATAAGCATTGAGTTTGTGAAGAAGGTGACAGTGTTTTTATTCCATTATACATTATGAATTTCTTAGATAATCTGAAAGTTTGATTTCATAGTCACGAGTACAGATCATGAGTTCATGTCAGATGAGTAAAATTAAGAACCTTTTACAAATTTGGGCTTAATTTAAGCCCCTTTAAAGGCCAAAATTCATTTCCAAAAAACCTAAGGAATGGCTTTCTAAACAATGTATAAAAACTGTATTACCTATATACTTATATATCTAAAAAGATCTAGAAGCTTTCAGCACAACTTATTGCTTCTGATTTCTTTAAATCATTAATTTTATTTTGCTCCATGTTTGTATATAATATAAACATAAACAAAGACACAAATCACATTTTGATGATGATCAAACAACACATTATTAAACCCATGAGGGATTATATTTTGAGTAGCATGGCTGGCAATGATCTATTGAATTCTGATGCCACAATTTAGACATTTCTTTTTAAGATACATGGAAAACATGCCAGCAAAAAATTTCAACTGATTATACTTGATTACATTCCACAATAACTTTTCTACATAACATATTATATAAAATACATATAACATATACTACATAACAATACATAACTTCTTCAGGAAATTTTCCCTACAACAACTAATGATCATGCAAGTTTTTTAAATTGTATATACAAACCTGTTCTTTAACCAGTGAGTGTGTTCCATTACTTTAATGACTCTAGCTTCCCTCTCAAACAGCAAAAACTGCAAACAATGATCTTGTTCATTGCACAAAAGCATTATTAAAACTAAATTATTTTCATCTTTTGAAACACAAATCTTTGTCAGTTGAAGAGTCTGAAAAATATAATTATAAAAATCTTAGTAATAGAACACTTACTTATTAAAGTTCAAGTGAAAGCAAGTTCAAATAAATTAACTTAATTTGCCATTATATTTTGGAAAATTAAATGCAGTCAATAAAAAATTACTTCTTTATTGATTTTTAAAAATTAAGCATAAAACAATAAGCAGCTATATAAACAAAAGCAATTTCTCCTTTCAAAAATATTTAAATTATAAAAAATACCCAGCAATGTTTTGATTTCCCTTATAATTTCATATGAACATTTAAGTAATGAAAAATTATTTTTAAATGTAAACTTTCCCAGCAAAAAAGCACTATATCACACAATCATTAAAACTAAACCAACACAAGGATTCCCTGGAATTTCATAGTTTCGGCCAGGGAGGCTTGGGGAATGGGGGGTCAGCCTTTTTTATTTGGTTGTATATATCTAGTTTCAGTTTATGACTGTAGAAAACTAATTTTATTTAAGTTTCGGTATTTAACTACATTTTCTAAACTTTTTATTGCTAAATTTGTAATACACATTAAAAAAAATCTAAGTTAATGTATATATGCATTTTTAAGTTTTGGAAAGGCGAGGTGAAAGATATTCTAGTGATTCTAGCAAGAAAAGGTTCAGAACTCATGCTCTGACATCTTTAATTTGTAGCTAGAGGTAGCTAGAGCAATGGTATACAATTAATGAAAGCTTTTCCACAAAAATTAATTATATGCCGATTAGAATTAGTTTTCTTGCAATTGCTATGATATTGCTCTTCAAAAGTTGACAGTATAATTATTGCCTTAGCATCAATATCTATATCTGCAAATTTTTAGACATCCCCCCTCCAAAAAAAGGGGGCAGAGGATTAATTTTGTTTCTAATATTTTGGGCAGAAACATCTTGTCGCGAGGTCTTCAACTGACACCATACAATAAATTTTGTGGAGGGGGAGAGAGAAAAATTGAAGGATTAATTTTTTTCTGATATTTTATGCAGAAACATATAATCTCAAGGACAGGCATGTCATGGCATGTCAACAATAACAACAAATTTACATCTGTTTGTCGAATGCCTTGATGTGCACATATCATAAGGTCTTTTCTTGTAATCACAGCCAGCATACTATTTTTCACAAATAGACAGCATACAAACTGGATTATTATTAATATCTTTCTTTATACCTGCAGACTTTTGGATAACACAAAATGTAGGAATAATTTTCCTTTGAATATCTAATAGCATGCAGAAGTTCATCAGAAGTAGATACTTAGTTGACAAGACACTTTGCCAATGGCTGTTAGCCAATACATAAATTTAGTCAAAAGTACACTGCTGGCCATTAAAATTGCAACACCAGGAAGAATTGACCTGACAAAAGTCAAAAATCACATGGAAGAAAGAAGAGCTTGGGATATGCAAATGATTAGTATTTCAGTTGCAACACCAGGAAGAATTGCCCTGACAAAAGTCAAAAATCACATGAAAGGAAGAAGAGCTTGGGATATCCAAATGATTAGTATTTCAGTGCAGTAAGACCGTGCAGGCGGGTGAAATGACATCTGCATAAAAGAAAAGCTGTGCAGTGGATTTCTCATTCGGAGAGCACTTTGTAAGGTCAGCGATTGCTCAGAATATTGTGTTATGCCTTGAATAATAAGAATGCTTACCAGTAAGTGTCGGAATTCGATAGAAGCAGGATCATTGCTTAACAAGTGTATGGATTATCGTTCTGTGATATCGCACTGGTTGACATCCAACCACTGTCATTCAAACATGGAAACAATGGGTTGCTGGGTGTCATTAGTCAGGAAATGAGCATATTTCCAGCATGCCCAGTATCTGCTCGCAAACTGCGTCGATGTCTGCAGCAGCGTGGACTACCAGCACGATGACCACTACTTTGGCTTTCCTTGATAATGCAGCATAGAGAGAGACGGCGACTCTGGTGCATCAAAGGACAAAGCTGGATACAGGAGTGGCACAGGCGTAGCCCGCATATGGTCATATGGCAAACCTTGTTTTGCAAGGTGGACCGGGCTGCACCCTATCAAAAGAAAACAGGAGTGGCACAATGTCGTCTTTTCAGACGAGTCCCGGTTCAGCATGTAGTATTCTGATGGCTGTATATGTGTCTAGAGCCTCGAGAAAACTGGCCAGGTGTGATAGTTTGAGCAGACCCTGAGTACATGACATACACATCTCTAGTTTGGATCGACTGTAATTTGAATGCAGATCGGTATGTTTCTGATATCTTAAGTTCAGTGGATGCGCCGTATCTTCAAGGCTTGCCAAACACAATTTTCCAGCAAGATAATGCAAGACCACATGTTGCACGTTGTGTTATGACCTTCCTCGATACAAAGGGTATTCGGTTGCTGCCCTGGTCTGCACCGACTCCAGATCTGTCACCCATTGAAAACATCTGGTCATGGGTTGCTAAGAAACTGGCCCGCTACCCCTCTCCAGCTAATATGGTTGATGAATATGTGGCACAGAGTTAAAGTAGCATAGAATGAGTTGCCCGTTTCTGTCATTCAAGACCAATTCGACTACATGCCTAATCGGCTAAGGGCCATTTTAGCTGCTATGGGTGGCAGCTGTTTCTACTAATTTCACATCCCAGTAAACCCCCAAACTGCTTACAAATTTAATCATTTTGTCTTAATGTTGTACTGTTTATGTAAAATAAATATCTTTTTTGTACTTGCTTTCTTTCATGGTGTTTCAATTTTAATGACCAGCAGTGTATTTTTAGCCACTGGCACATTTAGCTGAGCCATTTAAATGAGTATCTATAAAACTGTTTTGATAAAAACTATCCATATTTACCTGACTTCGAAAATTTAATACTAATAGCCATCAATACTGGCAACTCGGTGACATTTAAGAAGATGGCAAGTGAATATAAAGATGATGATATACAAAAATGGCAAGTGAAAGAGGCCATGAATTCCGCTGAAAATATATTCTAATATCATCTTCCAAATCATTTCTTTTCTTCTAAGGAAAAATAATCTTATTAATCAATAATTTAAACATGAGAACAAAGAATCTTACTTTTTCAACTTGATAATGAAAAATTTTCAACCATTCTTTTTGTCTTTCATGCCTCCAAACCTGTACCCATGATGTATGCTGAATGAAAGCATAGTTGCTATTATTGAACAATGTGAGCTGCACATCAATTACTGCTTCTTCAATTTCACTCTATAAAATTGGAATTTTGAATTTTATATGTAGAATGACTTTTAAAAATTATTTTACAGTAACAAACAAAAATTATTCTTATATTGACTTATAAGAATAATTTTTGAGTAAAAATAGCAAAACTGTCCAGAAGAGAGTAAAAAATATTTAAGAAAGTTTATATTCTAAATACTATAATTTCAATCTAATACTAAATGCTTTAAATATTAGCAGTTTCAAAGAATGGTAGGAAATATAGCAATCTGATGATGTTTGGCATAAACATCACAGTTACACAGTTAAAATTCAACAATTTACCACATTCAAAACTTCAGCAATGCCAAATTATCAGAGAAAATTACATATTGCCACTTTTTTGGAACACTTATGTTAAGTCACCCAGTATAATCTATCAAATAGCCACTGCTATGAAAGTATTTCTTTTTTTTAATTTCTCATTTTAATTTCACATGATAAGAGAATCCAAATACAATCACTGAAACTTTCTTTTTGAGAAAAATAGCAAAACTCACCAGAACAGAGTAAAAAATATATATGAAAGTTTATACTCTAAACCTCTCTATTCTAAATACTCTAATTTCGATCTAATACTAAACTATTTAAATATCAGCAGTTTCAAAGGGATGGTACGAATTCTAGCTATGCTGATGATATTTGCCATAAGTCACAGTTACACATTAAAAAATTCAACATTTTACCACATTCAAGACTTTAGCAATGCCAAGTTATTAAATATGACAAATTATCAGAGAAAAATTACATACTGCCACAAAAGAATTTTTTGCATTATTGAATATACATAGGAATGAAAAAAAAAATATAGCATGTAACCCTGTAAATATCTTTAATGAATCAAATTTATTAGAAAATATAGTTATTCATAGTTTAATTATAAAAACATTGCCTTTTTTTAATTAGAAAGAACTCACCTTCTATGTGTTTCCACAAGATTTGAGAAATTGGAGCTCTTGATCTGGATAATATAGATACCAAATCGCTAAACAAAAAACTTATTTATCGACAGAAACTTTCCAAGACTAACATCAAAGGTTTCGAATCAAATCTCGGTTAATTATACAAAACAATGAACATATAAAAGGCTCATGGCATCTGATGATAATAACAGAACAGATTGGTTGTTGGTGAAAGTAATCGAGATTTTAAAATCTCAGGTTGGACATGTGCGATTAGTTAAGGTCAAGACTAAGCTTAAAGAAGTTTTACAATCAACCAAAGCATTTATATACTTTGGAGGTAGCATCTTCAGATGAAAAGTCTGAACTTTAGAAGTATAATAAACAGCTCTTATGGTAAGACATTAACTTACTTCCATCTTGATGCTCATGGTGACTCACCTCAAGATCTTAAAGGTTGTAAGATTCCATCAATAACTACAAAACGAAATCCAAATGTTACAGTTTTAAATTTGATTGGCCAACAAATTTAAAGGTGGGAGTATGCTGAAAATTCTTGCTGAACAATTCACATCACGTGATTTGTGCATGAGCATCGCCTAGAAATGCGAACTTTTTTAGAACTAGTAATGGATGAGTGAATGAAATATGTAATCAATAACTTCTCTTCTGTGTGTTGTATATATAATTAGCCAGTAATGTATAGTGAATTAAAAATGTTATTTTTCTAGAAGTGACTTTTGTCTCATGAGTAGGTAGTCTTCGGCTAAGAAAAATATCCCCATTTCTTTCTGATTATTAAGATGAAAGAAGACTTGACAAGCTAAGATTTTTACTTTTATTCAGGATATCTTGATTGGAAAATAATGAGTGATACTTCCCCCTCTTTTTTTGGAACACCTATAGTAAGTCTCCCAGTATAATATATCCAACGGCCACTGCTATTAAAGTATTTTTTTAATTTCACATTATAAAAGAACCCAAAGACAATCACCAAAACTTTCTTTGCATTGACAGAGAACCAGGTTTTTACACTTTTGCTCTTTATTTTTGATGATAAGTATAGCTTTTTTTTTTTTTTTTTTGTTGCAGTCATTTAGGTTATCAGGTTCAATGTTCCGTCTTACTTTCTTTGGGAACATGCAAGGACCTGACTCGGAACAGAGAGCTTACTAAAGCTATGTTCAATAACTGTGGGAAGTAGACAGGATACACAAGAAGGGTATAAAAAACCCTTTATTTCTCTCTCTTTACAATAATTTCCGTACTTCGGAATACAAAGACCCACTACTTGTGATCTAAACGTAAGAATATAAAAATATAACTAAACGCTAACTTAACTTTGAAATAATAAACATGGAAGATTGGCCTTATATTAACAGGAAGCCGTATGTAGTACAGAGAACTGTTAATACTACAATATGTTTAAAATTATCACGAGGATTAAACCTCTGGCCTGGAAGGCAACCAGCAACTGAGTAAAACTTCTAAGGTAAGCGACCTGCTTCGACTAACTCCTTCCTCTCTCTCGCTTGGAAAAAAGCCACAACTTAAGTACTTGGCGTTCGCCAGACAAATTTTACATAAATAAGTTAACGCTTTTAATTCTGGCCGGAAGTAGAAAATAAGAAGTGATAGTAAAGATTTAAAATAAAATAAACGTTAGTAAAACTTAAGATCCTTACATACTTCCCGCCAGAGTTAATTAGTTTGAAACTGAGGTCTAAAACGACCTTGTTGAAAACTTTTAGCTCTAGAATCTAATGCGAGGCCAATCTTTTACAAACATTTCTCACTAGAAACTAGAAATTTAAAAAAAGAAATTTGTTTTTACAATAGCAGCTCCCAGGACACGCAATTTTTCATCTGTACTGCATCTAAACAGGAGCTTTTATTCAAATCTGGTTCCTTCCAGAGATTTGGAAGGAAAACTAGTTTAATGAAATGTTACACAATGAAATGGCAAGTAACATGCATATTTATATTTCTCTTAACATTCTTATTTCATTCATGACTATTTTAATTATCTCTCCCCGTGCTCTCTGACATGTGTTGTAAAAGAACACCAAACACGAATGTGTTTATGTATACGTGTTCAACACTTCCTCCTACAATCAAAACACTAACGTGTTAAAATTCAACATACCAAGACCTCGTAAAACACACCCTAACTTCAACTCTAAACCCTGAGGTACTATTCTGAAAGTGGCTAACTCTGAAGTGTAGCGTCAGAGAGCCTAACTACATTCATTCAACCTTTAACACATATTCACCATGATTTGGTCTTTTTACAGTCACACGAATAAAAAAAATTTTAACATTACTTTCACTTTTACCATATCACAGGTATTTCTTAACATTTAAAATAACAGTTCACATTGTATATAAGAACATATTAACATGCCGTTAATTTTACACATTTGAAAACATACATTAGTAGTACATTGTTAACTTCTATTCTTTTCAAAGCAAGTGCCAATTCTTTCTACATTGAAATACTACATTTCAAAAGTCTTTCAGACTAAAACTTCTTTCTTGCCAGAATGTTTTAAATAAAATTTATACAATAACTTTTACAATATTTAAGTCTTTACATATTCCTATTATACATCAACTTTAGTTTTACGCGCGAGTAATTGAAAAACATAATACCAAAATCGGTAACAACTCATTTCTCGCCCTTTTGGCGATAAAGGTAGACCTCGCATGAGGTAAAAACTTCTTGAAATCTGCCACTTGCAGTAAGAATGAAAGATTAACTTAAGTTTGCAAAGTAACATAAAATTTTAATTATCTTTGTGATATTCGGACATTCTTTTCTGAGCCCAGTCCTGGAAGGTAGCGTAGATTTTCGTTTGATTTATCCTCCTTCTTGTGCGGGCTCGCCCTTCAGTGCCTTCCTCTAGAAGCTTTCTTTTTTCTCCAGTTCGGTCACCCTTGAATACCTTCTTTTTTGCCTCTGCCTGTGGTCTTGGCCGTTTGATGGCAGCTGGTCTTGGCGGAACCGGGAAACTTCTTTCGCGTTCCTGCTTGGACCTCGTTGCTGGCCGTTCAAATTTTCCTTGTAACTTTTCCTCCGCCGCTGGTGGCCCTTCCGCAGTTCGGCGACATTTGCTGCGGAGAGTCCTGTCGGATGAGTAGATCTTCCGTTTTAGAGCCGGGTTATAGTTGCCGTCATTTCTCCTGGCTTCTTTGCATACGTCGTCCTTCTCCCTTCTTCATTCTGGGGGTGTTCGTGAGCTCTCTTTTCTGGACGGTGGAACGGCTTCTTTTTCTTGTTACCTTCAATTTTTCCAACGGGGAAACTTTCTTTTCACTTGCTCCTGCCTCCTAATGGCTTGCCCTTGTGCTTGTCGTTGTTCCAACCTCTGGAGCTTGTGCCTGTCTGCCGTGCCGGATCCTGCAAAAGATCTTTAAATATTTGCATTTTATTACGATCATAGTAGGGTTTTATTTGGTCAATGTTTGCGGAGCATGGTTTCACCATTCCTGGCTTTTAACACCACTACAGCGTGAGTTATTTTTTCTATGACATATGGTCCTTCAAATCGTGGAAAAAATTTGGCAGTTTTATCTTCTGGTGCTGAAGAAAGTGAATGCTTAATTTTTAATACTTCATCTCCCTACTTTATAAGTTACTCCCCGTCGTTTCAAATCATAATAGAGATTCTGTTTTCTTTGTGCTACTTCAGTATTCTTTTTTTTTGCTTCTTTAATTAGTTTTTCTATATCACCCATTTTAAATTCTGGGGCTCTTTGTTGAACATAAAAATAATTTATCTAACGGCGTTATAATCTTTCTGCCTAAAAAATAACTCAGCAGGAGTTTTGCCCGTTGTATCATGTTTTGCGGTCCTAAGGGCGAAAGCCTAAATTCATTGACATAGTTATCCCAGCTTTTATGAAAATTTTTAACATAACTACGGATAATTTTCACTATATTTCTATTGACCCGTTCCGCTATATTTGATTGCGGCCGATACGGGACCATTTTTAAATGACGTATGCCCAGTTTTTGGCACATGTCTTCAAATATATTACTTACAAATTGAGGACCATTATCCGATATAACTTTTAGGGGCGCCC